GATCAGAGAAAAGGGAATCTAAATTTCCTGATGGGGTAATGATGATAACAAATTCAATATTCAACAAGTTAGAGTAAATATCATTGAGAAAATGAGCTTCAAGCCAAGGCAGAAAGGTCAGGAAGTCCCCCAGGCACATACTGGAAGATGAGAGATCTCAGCCAGAGAACATTATTGCAAAAACCATGAAGGGACTTCAGGTTCCTAGTTCTGCAGGTAAGGATCTTGGAAGTTACCAGTCTGTCCTAATAAGTAAAAAAGCTAAAGATACTGAAGAATCAATAACTCTTCTTGGATCTATAAGAGAGAGGAGAACACAGGGCAAACCACTGCCCCCAAGATTGGAGAGATAGACAGGCGAAAGCAGAAAAACACAGTTTGTTCACAAGAGGAAACTGCCATGGGAACCAGGGCCTTGATAGGAAAACCTGAACTAAACAATAGAGTGAGATTTACCTCCAGGAGTTCGACCAGGTCCCCATGGTAAATGTAAGAGAAAAATCCCCTTGTGCTTACATCAGGGGAGAAGAGGAAGGACTCTGAAATCTATCAGAGGCTCTGTATTTCTTAACAAAGCCTGCCCTCAGGAGAAACTGGTTAACTCTACAATCCCCTGCTGGGATACTCTCAGAGCCTGATGAATCTGGGGAAAGAGAAATGGCCAACTTCAGCCTCCTCTAACCTTCCACCTGGAGGAAAGAAATAACCCACTCCAGTCTGCTCTCATCATCCTGTCCCAATTTACAAGGGAGAAAAAACACTAAGAAACTCTTCTGAAGTTCACAGTCCAGAGGCATAGCTCCACCAAAAGCCTGAGATCTAATCAGAGGACTAGAGAATGCCCCCTTCCCTCCACATCTTGCCACCGCCTTGCTAAAGACCTGTTTATAGCAGGCCCTCTTACCTGGAACATCATCTGGCTATCAAAAAAAATTACAAGGCAGATACAGAAAGGCAAAAACGTGATCTGAAGAGACAGAGCAAGCATTAGAATCAGACATGGTAGAGATGTCGGAATTATCAGACCAGGAATTTAAATCAACTATGATTAAAATGCTGGAGATCAAAAACACTGTAAACCAAAATGAAAAATGCCTTTGATGGGTTCATCAGTACACTGGACACGGCTGAGGAGAGAATCAATGAGCCTGAAGATATAGCAATAGAAACTTCAAAAACTGAAAAGGAAAGAAAACAAAGAAAAGGAAAAGAATGGGGACAAATATCTAAGTAAGGTCTGTGGAGCGACAACAGCAAAAGGAGTAACATATACATAATGGGAATATCAGAAGAAGAAGGAAAGGAATAGAAAAAATATTTGAGGGGTGTCTGTGTGGCTCAGTCAGTTGAGTGTCTGACTCTTGATTTTGGCTCAGGTCATGATCCCAGGGTCATGAGATCAAGCCCTGCATCAGGCTCTGTACTCAGCGGGGAGTCTGCTTGAGATTCTCTTCCTCTTCCTCTCCCCCCAACTCTCTCTCTCTCTCCCTGTAAAATAAATAAATAAATCTTTAAAAAAATAAATATTTGAAGTGACTATTTTCCCCAAATTAAACTTAGACACCAAACCACAGATCCAGGGAGCTCGGAGAACACCAAGCAAAATAAATGACAGCAAAAACTATACCTAGCCATATAATTTTCAAAGTACAGAAAATAAAAAATAAAGAAAAAAATCTTGAAAGAAGCCAGAAACAAAAATGCTTCATCTACAGAGGAACAAAGATTAGAATTACAGGCTGACTTCTCAGAAACCATGTGCCTTATGAAAATCAACAGCCTTCTGCCAGGAGCCAATATTACAAATCAGGAGATTTCAGTGAGTGGTGGCCTTAACTGACAGAGAATTTCCCTCTGATATTGGGGTTTATTCACCTTTTCTTTACAAAATAGGGGAACCACTTAAAAACTTTCAGGGTGAACAAACAAACAAAAAATGCACTTGCATGTGAATTTCTGTCACTGCCCTATAGGAAGAATCAGTTGGGAAAATTTCTTACTAATACAAAAAAAAAAAAACACCAAAAATCTATTTTGAGATGCGCTGTGTTACACCTATAAAGTCTAAAGGAAAAGAATATGGTGCCATAAGAGCAAAATACAGAGGGGCTCTAACTGATCCCATCTCTAATCACTCCTTTAGGGTGAGTCTCTGGGTGGCAGTAATACTTAGATGGTATATGAAAAACAAGTAGTTAATCCACATGAATACGATAGGAAGAGAACTCTAGGCAGAATACATTAGAAGATCAGAACAGCAATAACTGGAGCTAGAGGAAGACAGTTGGTTTGAATATATTTGCATATTCTTGGAGAAGGACCATAGAGCAATTGAGGAAATTTATAATTATCACTTGCTTCCTGCTGTTCTCCCAATCCCCATTCAACAGAATGTACATCATAAATGTTTAAGAAGTCATTAAAACGACAGAAAATACTTTAGCTCTCATACTAAGAAATGACTATCTCAATAGGTGACAGATTTGAGACATGTTATATGATGAAGATGCAGAATAGAGTCGTTTTAAGGCAAAGTCTTACTGGGAAGAAACTGTTGATCTTTCTAGATAAAAATACATTTCCCTTTGGCACACCTAAGCCCAAGTTTTAACAATTCTTAGTAAGATGGTGTTAGGAAAGTTCACAAAACTGACAATTAACAAAATGAACCGTTCATAATCTTTGATCTAGCTATATCTTACATTTGGAAATCTGTGCTACAGGTATATAAACACCAGACACAAATGTTGGGACATCATTTGTAGGGGGAATAAAAAGGCAACAAGCTGTATCAGTAGGAGAAGGATCCATTCTTTCTATGAAATGTTGTGCTACAAAAAGTATAAAATGTAGTTTAATATGGATATATTTAAGATAACATTTAGTTTACTTTTCAAACTTCATCATTTACATTGTGTTGTTTTGCATTTTATCATTTCAATGTTTTTAATAAGGAGAAAACTTAGCACCTTGTATTAAAATTATAGACTGGGGGGGTGGAGAAAATACTGATCTTTAGAGGGAAAAACTAAGCGACTGAAGCATAGAGTTGCTAAGAATCTCTCCATTTTACTTAGTTTTTGACAAAGATTTCATTCACCAGTATTTAAAAATGTTTCATGAAATCAGAGAATGTTAGAATGGAGATGTAGCCTTGCCAGAAGGCATTGAGTCCATTTGCCCAAATTTATTTACTTACGGATATATTCATTCATTCATTCAGTCAGTCAGTCAGTCAGTTTTGACACATATTACAGCTTTTCAAAAGTAAATTTTAGTTACAAAATTAAATATTTGTTTTAAAATAAGTCCAACAATTCACATGAGCATGAAGCACCCCCCCACCACCACTTGCTACTTCCAAAATCACCCTATTGAAGTAACCAATATTTAACAGTTTGGAAAGGAACTGCACACTTCTCTCCATGATCATGTACATACGCACATACCAATATATTTTACACATTAGGTAAGATTTACCTCTACCTTTTTTACTTTTTTTTTTTTTTTACAAAGTATTGGGAGAGGTCATCAAAAAGACCTGAGCTCTGGTTGATCTGTGAGATGGACCCTGGCAACCGGGGGCTTCTCTCCCCTCTATCTTTGGAATGTGCATTCTACCTACCCTCTCTGCTGCTAAGAACTGCCCCAGGGTCATAACCTCGAAATAGTGATCTGTTCTTGGGAGTCTCTATATGTGAATGAACCCCAGTAAGGCCTCTATATAAACTTTGAAGATTTGGCCAGGTCGTAGCTGAGATACATTTTTACTGCAGCACTCAGAACAACCTACTTTGTAAGTCCCCTTGCCTGTTAAACCTGCCATCTACCGTTCTGAGGTGGCCTGCATCTTTCTTTGGTCTCTCCCTGCACTTTGTGATGGGGGCCACTTACTGATTTCACTGGAAGTTCCCAAGGAAGTTGCAAACCAACACAAACTGTGACCAGTTCTACAGATTAAATTTTGGCTTGATTTTTTTTCCATCTCTCAATGATTGTATCATTGTTTAAGTTTCCTCCAAACTAAAGCATGAATATCTAATTTCCTCTTTTTATAATTAGCTGTGCAACATTTCAAAGAAAGAATGTATGCTTCTCCTAATGGTACAAATTAAAGTAGTTTCCTTTTATTCCCCCTACAAATGATGCTGCAACATTTGTGTCTGGTATTTATATTTCTGTAGCACAGACTTCTAAATGTAAGATACCTAGGTCAAAGATTATGTGAATTTGATAGCTATCATCAAATTACTTTCTGAAAATGTAGCTATTCTGTACTTAGCTATTATAGTTAAGTGTAATATGGCTGCCTACATCCAGTAATAACCTTACCAGCATTGCACATAATCATTTTAATGTTTGCTAATGTGATAAATGAAAAGAAGCATTGCATTGTCATTTTGATTTCATTTACTTAAAAATTGTGAAGTTGAGCAATTTTGTATATATTTATATTTTTGGCCATTTGCATTTCCAGTTGTGCCAATTGCTCATCCATCCATCCATCAGTCCATTTCTCTACTGTGTGTCGTATATATGTACATATATGTTCAGCACTTTCCTACTGGGACATTAACTCATTATGAGTCACCCATTTTGCAAGTGTTCTCTCACTTTCCATTGTTCAACTTTTAACAAGATCTATGAAACCTTTATTAATGAACTCTTTCTTTCACTCATAACATCTTTCCCTTATAACATCTGCTTTTTTAGTCTGGAATAAATGTCATCCCACATATGAGAATACATAACTGTTCTGGATTTTCTTCTGGCATACATTAAATTTATACCTTTAATATATCTGTAAATTATTTTGTATCCCCCATCATTTAGCAATGAAGACAACTGAAGAAAAAAATATATAGACTGTCTATAAGTAACCTGGTAACCACCCAGGAATTAAAGAGAGCTTCTCATTCTCAGCCCAGTGTTCTTTTTACAACACATTATGAACCAACATCTATGGTATGACACAACAGAGTTCTATTTTACCAAAACTATTAGAGAATTTTTCCTTTCAAACATCCTCCCAATGCATTTTTCACCTCCTTGTTCCTCAGGTTGTAAATGAGGGGGTTCAACAGGGGCTTACCACAGGATAAAATAGAGGAATCACTTTATTGATATCCAGGGAGGAAGTTGAGCCAGGACAAACATAGGTAAAGAAAAGAGTCCCATACAGGATGGAGATAACTGCCAGGGGAGAAGAGCAAGTGGAGAAAGCTTTCTGTCTCCCATCAGCAGTCTGGATCTTCAAGATGGCCGCCAGGATGCAAACATAGGAGATCATGATGATCAGGCCACTGAGTATTCCTATAGATCCAGCCAAAAAGAAAAATACAAACTGAATCATGGAAGTGTCTGCACGTGCAAGGGAAAGCAGTGGTGAAAAATCACAGAAAAAAATGATTGATGATATTTGGACCACAGAAGGGTAAGCAAAAAGTCAATGTCATAGAGGTCATGCTGCTTATAAAAGCCATGGCATAAAGCCCCATAACTAGCTGCACACAGACCCTCTGAGACATAATGAGTGTATACAGCAAGGACTTACAGATGGCCATATACCAGTCATATGCCATAGAAGCCAGGAGGAAACATTCAGATACCACAAAGAAACCAGAAAACCACATCTGTGTGGCACAGCCCATGAAAGAGATGCTTTTTTTCTCTGCAAAGATACCACACAGCATCTTGGGGGCAATGGAAGAAGAAGAACAAATATCTACAAAGGACAAATGGCTGAGAAAAAAGTACATAGGTGTGTGGAGTCTCGGATCAGTCCATATGAGAATGATCATCCCTACGTTACTCCCCAGGGTGACAAGATAGACAAAGAGAAGCAAGACAGAGAGGACAATCTGCTGATAGAGATGATCTGTGAGGCCCAAGAAAAGAAATTCAGTCACTTCTGCCTGATTCTTATCTCCCATTGGTCAGTTGTAACCTATGTAAGAAATTAAAAAATACGTTTTATTTTTAAAATATCAATTGGCATATACAAAACAGCCTCAAACTTATTACAGGGTTGTTTTTTGGTTTTTGGTTTTTTTGATCTGTAAAAGAAGCAGTTATGGAAACAGTGTTGGACTGGTCAACAGTGTTCCCAAGGACTAGTTCCTGTCAGTTGTGATCCCTGTGTAAACTTGAGCAATTCATACTTGATCTTTTTAGATTCAGGTACTCTTGGCCATCAAAAGAGCAGTCTAACTATAAAATCTAAAACTCCCTTGGGTTCTAAAACTGTATTTGAAATTAAATTCAGTCTCTGTATTTCATCTTTATCACATGATAGAATAGTAATGCCTACCTAGGAATACAGTAACCAGTGATATTGTAAGAAATGATGAAAAATTCAGATCCTGATAATTGACAGTTGGGATGGGGTAAACAGAACAGAAATAAAGACCTTTCAGTTCCTGTTTTGATGGAGTAGATAAGTAGCATTCAGATGTCATGAAGACAACACCCATATCTGTGTATATTAATCTCTTCCCCTTATAAAAGCCTTACAAAGGGAAATGTAAGCAATTGTCAGTAGGGTTATTTAGAATGGGGAGGATTCTATCATAACACATAATAATCTTATTAATGTTTATAAAGGACTGCCCTGCACATGAGAGATTGGATATATTTACTTTTGACCATCATGGACACAGAAGTGGCACAAAGAGATAAGAACAGAGGATTCAAGTTGGGAGTTAAATGAAGTGAAGAAAATTCCACCAACCATATAATTCAAGTGAAGAAATATAATGGTTTGGGAGGCACTGAGATGCCTTTCCTTCAAGATTAATTAATCTACCAAATATTGCATAACAACTTTCCATGGAAATCATATAGAAAAATAATTATCCACTGGAAGCTCAACTGACTTCATCTTGAGTGGTAATTTCTACCAGTAATTTCTATGAATACATGAATATATTTTTTTCACCAAAATAAAATGATTTCCCCTAATTCCCTGTAATGTTTATAAACCTATTTAAGGCATAAATTCAGACAGGTAATTTCCATTTTATTAACAAAATGTGTAAAATGCTTGACATTTTTATTTAGACAAAATTTTCAGGCAAATGTTTTTCTGACTCATCAACTGAGGAAGAATACATCAAGCTGTTTAAAATGACAGTAAGAAGCACAAGGTGTGGGAGTATCCATAAGAAAGATTCTAGGTTCAAAAAAAAAAAAAAGGATTCTAGGTTCATATGTTTATTATCAACTCAAATAATTCCCTCTATAAACAAACAAAAACATTCCATACTTTGAAGATAGAATGATTAAGATGTGGTCCTTGAAATGCCACAGTGACAAAATAATAGTTAACACACTATTTACGCCTCTTGAGTTTATTATTATTATTTGAGAAAATATTTGTGGCATGATTATTAATGCATACTTATTAATGTCAGCTACTAATATCAATTATTTTTAGGAATTTGCACCTATTGGGGGAAATAAGACCTAGGCATAAAAAGAAAACCTACATTTCAAAATAATGTTTGGTTGGTCTAAGACTACATATGCCACAGGATTTCAGAAAAATCTTCTATGTTCACTGCGAGCTTAAGTGGTTGGGAAAAACACTGCTTTAGTTTCATGTCTGAAAGAGTTTGAAATCTATGTTGGAACTGGCAGGCAGTGGTTGTAGATGTCTGTGGACATACTAGGTGAGTGTGTTTGGTGAGGGGAATATGCTACCATCCCTGCCACTGTTCAGCATGCCAATATGAATAAAACACCCTGCCTCTCTTATAAATAAGGGGGGGGTGATCTCTTTGGCTTTTTCATTTCCAGCATTCTCTGACCCTAAAATTCTTCCTGGACATTGGAGTATCAAAAATAAAAAAACAAGATCAATTTTAAAAGATCAAAAAATCAGTTATTTAGTGAAGAGCTGGACTAAACCAAAGACCACTCTCTCTGGAGTACTTGGGCTGGTGAGTTTTTGTTCCCAAAAGTCAAGGTTCATTCTAAAGTCTTTCCACTGTATTTCAAAATTTCTTTTTAATCACTGTGTGGGATACTCACTTCTTTAAGGGAATCCTTTGTTTCCCTCCTAACTGCTTCAAGACGAATGGCAAAACCTAGAGTTTTTTGGTCTTCATAGAAAAATCAGTTTGGAAAATTTAATTTCTTTCTTGGTAGTAACCTTCTGCAGCAGACATGACATCCTAAGCACTTGGTAAAGAAGATAAGTCTCCATGCAGATGAGCCTGAGAGCAAAGAAGTGCTCCTTGTCCCACAGCCTGACTCACATCCAACACAAAATAAGGGGCTCGTGTTTCTGATAGTTTTAAATACATTAAAACCAGGTCTCTGAAGAACTAAACCCTCAAGAGTTTATACCTGAGGGACAAAATTAAAGTGATATCATTGGCATTCGTGCCAAGATTTTTCTCCAAAATTACACCTTCTCTCCAACAGAGACAAGGAGGCAGGAACATTCAACTTGGTTGGAATAAAGGTTTATAAAGGAGAGAAGAAAATATCGCATCTGAGGAGATAGTGTGATAGGCAGAATAATGGTCTCCAAAGATGTCCACCACCTAATCCCAGGGACCTGCAAATAGGGTACCTTCTGCAACAAAAAGGGACTTGGATGAGGTTATTAATCTCAGGAACTTGGAATGAGGAGATTATCTGGTGGGCCTTCTGGTGCAAGAGAGGGAGATGGAACTAGGGAAAAATAGTTAGAGATATACAACTGCTGGTTTTGAAGATGAAGGAAGGGGGCCATCAGCTGAGGAATGTGGGAAGCTCTGAAAAGATGGAAAAATCAAGGAAACAAATTTGCCCTAGAGAGTCCAGAAAGCAATGCAATCCTGCCAACACCTTGATAGCCCAGTGAGATGCATGTAGGACTTTTTAGGCTGCAGAACTTTAAAGTAATAAATTTGTGTTGTTTTAGCCACTGAGCTTGTGGTAATTTGTTAGGACAGCACTGGGAAGCTAATACAATTAGGTTGGATGACCTCAGCCACCACTTCCTCTGGAAAGCTTCCCATGATCCCCTAAAAGGGATGTGATCTCCCACTCCAGCAACCACCATAGCACTTTCTTCATAGCTCATCCTATCACCTGACTTTGCAAGTTCAAGGATATAGCCTTACAATTGTCTTTATCCTATGAAGTACCTATCTCAGAAAGTTGCAAAGAAGACAAATTCTATAAGTATTTTTGAGCAAAATGGAAAATAAAACAAAAATATTTTGCAATCCATAATGGTTTAAATGTAGCAATTTAAATCATATCATACACTTCAATTAAAGAAGGCAAAACAAAGGCATTTTACCCTTTTCTTCTACTTGAAATCACCCAAAACTGGAAAGGAAACTGAAAATAACAAAAAAAAAGATAAGTAAAATGACACTTTATTAAATTTCAAAAGGAGGAAATAATACGATATGAAAAAATATGATAAAGCAAATTCTATTACAGGAAAATGCTTCGCTTGGACATTTATAAGAAATTTTCCCTCTGGAGAATGAAAACATTTTAAAAAAAGATAAAATTGCTTAATATGATAGTCAGTTAGCTGGCTGACTGGAGGTGGTCCTCAAGAGGACATAACCATCCATTGACCCTCACACTGGACCTGGGCAATCAGAGGCTCTGAGTCCCTATTCCCTGTCCTTGGAATGTATATGCTGCCCACCCTCCCCACAGTGGGAGCCATTTTCAAGATGCAGCCTCAAGGGGGTAATGTGCTGTTGAGACCATCTGGATGGTGTATGTGACTGAACCCAGTTAAGGCCTCCATATAAATGTTTAAGATTCTGATGGGCAGGTGTGGAGATCTGCTGCCTAAGACAAGCCTTGAATGGCAGTTCTCTAGCTTATTAAACTTGTCACCTGCCATCTGAAGTGGCTTGCCTCTTCCTTAAGTCTCTCCCTGCCCTCTGTGTAAAGGGACTAGTTTTAGATTTCTACCCAGGAAATACCCGAGTATTTGAACCAACAGTTGGTGAGCCAGCTAGGAGACCTAAGAATGGAGACTCGGGAAAGAGGACTCAGGAGGGAAATCCTGAGTTGGCCCATAATCTCTATGTGGAGAAGTGTGGCCTGTATGTCAGAGGCTTGTGGACTGCACCTAAGTACAGAGATGCCCCCCATGCCAGATGCTTTAATGCACTTGTTTGAGGAACTGAAGCAAAGCAGGAAAAAATGGCTGCTGGTGTGCTGGCCTCTACTGTGGGCAGCTCGCCCAGTCACTGATGCCCAACAAGAGACCGACACGTGCATTAGAGAGTTAGAAGAGCTCAGGTTAGAGAAGAATGTGCAGGGATCCACCCCTCTGCTGGCTTCAGGGCTGGCAGACAAGGAGTACTTATATAATACTAAAATTAAATTTTCCCTCATCTGCTAAAAGCATGAAGTTTTCTTGGACTATGGGTCTATTCTTGATAAGACTGTGGAAAGTTTTTCTTTCTCTTCTAAGTAATCTGCCCAGAAAACAAAAATTCTGTGTTTCATCAAAATAATTTCCGGTGGACGAACCATGAGAGATGACGGACTCTGAAAAACAAACTGAGGGTTCTAGAGGGGAGGGGGGTGGGGGGATGGGTTAGCCTGGTGATGGGTATTAAAGAGGGCACGTTCTGCGTGGAGCACTGGGTGTTATGCACAAACAATGAATCATGGAACACTACATCAAAAACTAATGATGTTATGTATGGTGATTAACATAACAATTAAAATTTAAAGAAAAACAAACAAATAAATAATTTCCGGTGGCTTCATGTTGCCTTTATCGAGCCTTCAATTACTTAAGAATTCAGTCTTTACCAGACTGACAGGAAAAAGACAAACTAAAAGACTATCAAAAAATACAGTCCTCAAAGCTTTATTATGTGAAAGTAAGATATATATATATTTTTAAAGATTTTATTTATTTATTTGACAGAGAGAGACACAGCAAGAGAGGGAACAC